ACGATCTCAACATCAAAACTTCAAATCTGCCAAACAACAAATTGTTAAGCAACAACGTGACTCTTCTCTCAAACTCGGTTTTCTATAACATCCAGTCTTGATATGTCAGTCGGAATTCATATATCTTATGGGGATGCTGTTTTTGGAGCTAGGTAAGTAAACCATTACTGTTGTTCGGAAAAGATCACATGAAATCCGAGGATCATAAATCTGACTAACGGTTTCATCAGTTTTGGCTAGGTGATAGATACTATTATATGCGTCAAAAAAATCTTCCGTAAAATTCAACGTGTATTCTTGACGGGTGAAATTAAGCTCATTCATGCGGAAACGGCTTTAATTAGATTTAGCATTAAATCACTCTCTCCGGGACTGTTAACGTTTTGTTTGTTATGGAAGCAGCATTTACGAGGTGAATATGCTGACAGCGCGGAATTTGTCTCACACGGAGTAAGGAATCATTTTTGAACACTATATACTATTGTACATTTATTTGAAACACATGTAGCTTAATAGGTTCCAATAAACGTCACAATTCTGGTATCTCAGAAGCCGAATGTGAGTATATTACCCGTTTGGCCACCAGAAATTGCGAATTGGGGATTTTCATTATCTCGAAAATACTAAAACGATGGTACTCTCTTATCTAAAGCCTAACCTTAATCCTACGTGGTCATATCCCCCCATCCCAGTGGAATTTATGCAAAACGCCGTAGTTGATCGATAATCACCAACCTGTAATGTGTTATCAAGTAAAATCAACTATTATGCAGTTTGAATGCTTTAGAACAAGAGAGATTGCCATTTCCTTTTCATGAATTTGTTTTGATCCAGTCAGCGGATTTACTTTATCTGTAGACGCAAGATGTAGCAACAGAGGTGACCGTAGATAGGCTGTATTGCATTAAAACCGAATGCTGGGCGCTTACTCTTATTGTGTTTCAGCTGAAAGAAGATTTTCTTTTCGGGATCGCTAGTTGGATTAATTGATAAATTTAATCGAACGTAGAACAAAGATAGCGTAAACTGAAAATCTTTGAAGCTTTGCGCATTTTGCTTCGTCCTTTTGGGGGTTCGTCAGTCGAACCTAGTACCCCATATCTAGAACATTAGTTTTTCTGCCTGTTTGCAAACCATGTCACTAATCAGACTGCTTCATTTCTTTATGACTCATAATTTCACAGTAGTTCCAACGAACTANCTGTCTGTTTCCTAACCTTTTTGGTACTTACAAATAAATTTGACACAGCAAGCTGTTTAACTCCATTCTGTTTATGTTCTGGTCCCTTGGGCATCGTTCTCCTTGTGTTTACGTTCCTACTCCAGGCCGATCTAATGTCCATCAGTGGCCATAAAGTGTACGGTCCTCAGGGTATTGGCGCACTGTACGTGCGTCGTCGTCCTCGAGTCCGCGTGGAGCCCTTGCAGAATGGTGGTGGACAAGAGCGTGGATTGCGATCTGGCACATTGCCTACGGCACTCACGGTTGGTCTGGGTGCTGCCTGTGCTATAGCATTGGAAGAGATGCAGGTAAGGAAAAATCATCCATTGTTGTTGCTTTTTATATAACAAAGTCCCCGCACAACCGCGATGTGATCAGACCCCAAAATAGTTGTGCAATGCGAGATAATGAGAAGGGGGATAGCCGCCTTTGCGAAGAAAATTTCCGCAATAGCATGTCATTCCGCTTGTAATAAGTTTTCGGATCATTGAGTTCACGTAGTCTCCCCTCTTACTTTAATTACGTGTTGCTGTCGGTCTCGGTTTTGATACCTGGGTTAATGAACCTCACACGGACCAAGTAGGATATTACGAACACCAGGATATTAAGTTGGTGAACAACAGAACTGTCCACCACTAAAATGAAATGACATCGGCAAAGTTCTAACTTTAAGAATCGGTATGCGCTCGTAACAGCAACTCAAGCCACACCAAACATCACTACTATAACTGCACTGCTTTGGAATGCGATAGAGCTGTGTGGAGCACTTATAGTCAAGTCAAGTATTTGTTTTATACACCCCGAAAGGTGGATATTCAGTAGCCACATAGTAAACCAACAATTATTGAACAAAATTATAACAAAATCGGAGTGAGCAAGGAGAAAAGAAAGCAATTTACGATATGAGTGAGTTAAGTTCCGAAGCGATGCTTTCTGTGCTGACAAGAAAACGGACAAGGTAGGGCATCGCAGAAGACCGATAGGCGGTCATACGAGCAAATATACAATTATAGCGGAACCGGGTGGAAGAGAAGGATACACACCTAATAAGATCTTGATAAAACGGATGTGAAGGGTTGTCTATGATTTTTGATGATAACGAAAAGCATGACTTTGTATGTTGTGAAATGATGAAGTGACAGATAGTCGTATGTGTTTATGTCGCTTCTTTAATTCAAGTCCATGACATTTGAACGTGACTGCCTACATCGGTATGAGTAAAATCTCATTCACAGTAGATAAATGACTCACTTCCTACTCTTTGTTTACTCGGTGTTGATGAATGATTGAACTTTCAAAAATTTCGTAGCGCGCTATTCAGCTCAGTTAACGGTAAAAAACGAGAGGATTATTTTGACAGGTTTCATGTCTTTATCAAGTTTTCACAGAAGCATTAATTACCCTAAGCGTCAAATATTTCTGTCCTAAAAAATGGCTTTCACATCATCTTAGAGGTGCATAAAAACTAATGAGCACGCATTGCATCAAGAAACACTGTCAGCTTGGCTTTCGCTATCCTCACGCTTGGAAGTGAACATTGTAACTTAACAGACACTAGCTGCGTCAAAATGTTACCTCAAACTGGCTGAACAGTTGGGACCTCATTGCTCTCGCGTTCCAGAATTAGAATGAAGACTTTACCGATTATATGTACTGAGTAGAGTTTTTATTGCTGCAAACCTAATCCAGAGTGTTCGTATGCCATAGAAACCAGATATACTGTTAAGGGTGAAACATATAAGCACAGCGTCTTGGTCGACGGGGATCCAGTTGTCTAAACGATAATCATCAGTTGTAAGACTCCACTCCACTTTGGTGACCGACAGTCATTGTGTTCGACAGTTTGGTATCGCAACAGTCATAATCAGACGACTCTGGATAGTTCTTTTCACTATACATTACGCTGTGGTTTGCATTTTTATTCGTCTTGCTTATGTGTTTCTCCATTTCTGTCCGAAGTTACACACTAATCAAGGTTCTCAGAGATACAAAGTAATTTAGTATCGTCGGAGCCGGAAGGATACGCACATCAGTACCCGAGAAGTACTTTTCTGTTTTTTTGTTTGTGGTACCTTCCAGGGTACAATTTAGAAGGGGTTTGGACACTACGATCTATGGGCAGAGCCTATAACAATAAATCATTGCACGAAGTCTAGAAAAATTCCTTGATATAGTTTTGTGCCAAACACCGAATTCTGGTTGCTCAGTCTCATGATTATCTCGTCCACTAGGACTATCTGAGTAGCGAAATGAAATTTTTCACTCTGAATTCCGTAACTATAATGACCTATTGTGCAGACAATTAAAAAAGATTTCTCTCCTCTCCGTGGGCAACAGCTTCAGCACCCTACGAGTAAGGTGTTTCTAATATCTGCAGTATTTTATCTTAGTTTCGTACACTGTCTGTGGGTTACATGCACAGTGTCAGGTTTCAGAGGGTAAAAATATAGTTTTTGATCATGGTGTCATTGACCGATGCGTTTAATCGCACCATTCAACTTCACGAAGTAAGGGAGTTAAGTGAAGCTTTCCGGCCCCTGTATAGAGTTAAGACGACTGTCTAGATGCGTGCGGTTTCGCATTTTAGCCACAGCGAAGGCAGTTTCCATCAGTCTTCACAACCCCCCTCTGTGTGCTCAGAAACAATTTGTGTAAGGGAGTTATACTTAAATGGTTAGGGGTTCGGTGATATCGTACCGTGCCCGGAATTTTGCTTTCAAATACGGTCATTCAGTTGGATAATGACCGTTCTATTCATGGTTCGTTTTGTCTTTCGAGGTCACTTCTATTAGCAACCTTTTCTTATTGAGTTACAAGGCAACACATCTCACCTCAAATGCTGTTATATCTAACAACAGTCGGCTAGAACATTCCACTTGCTAAAACGCTTGGGGAGTTTTATTGGGTCAGCGGATCGTTATTTCACTTCAATAGACTTGATTATAATACCACAACCTGAATCAGTGAATATTTTTCGCCCATTATTCAGATTTGAACATAAAATAACCAGCAGGTGCTTTTGGCTCTCCACATCAGGCTATTCATTATATAGCCAATAAAAACATACAGTTTGACGAATAAAAAAATTGTTTCAGATCAAAATATTATTAACCCTTAGTTCTCACACTTGACCAGATAATTACCATGAGATCGACACGTAACAGTTGTGGTGATATCATCATGCGTAACAATGATGATGTAGCCGTGTTTCTAACGGGAATGCGCTCAGTATTAATGTACTTGTTTGCTATTCTGATTCATAGGTGCAATGCTTNGCTTCTAAACATTCCAATTATTGCGATTGAGGTAACATTTTTAATGTCACCAATCTAGTTGTCCTTGTAAATTTGGTAGAGCATTCAGCCGGTTTCTCATTCGTCTAGTCACAATAAGCTGGCGTGCCGCTGTTTCAAACCTGATCCAGTCGATCGCGGGTCAACCCGAAAGCGGTGTTTCATGTTGGTCACAGGCGTGTGTGTACGTATGCGCGAAAAAAGGCCTGCACCATTATTTGCTCTGTTCAGACTGAAAAGTGTTCTGTAGTTTTCAATTGATTTATATTTCCATTTTCTATGACCGCTACTTGTCAACGTTTTATTCGTATCCTGTACTTTTTTGTATCACGTGTTTCCAGTTCGATGTAATGAATCATTAAAACCAGAACCGGAATTGATAAATGTGTGCACTTGTTTTTAATATCTCATTCTCCGAAGTGGATGAAAGATTGCTACGTAAACCAAACTAATAGTTATTATTACGAGGTAACCTAGCTGTCGATCAAATCAACATCAAATCTGTCCTAATGGAGTCGCATGTTTATCGTACTAGGATGTATAGTAGAAGGACTTATTATCAAACTGCTGTTTTGAATGTGCTCAATGTCTACTGGTTACTTTCGGTGTTACAAGCTGAAATGTCAGAATCCCGCTGTCTGAGACGACCAATGAATATGAGGGCATTGAGACTCCCCGTGGTAAAGTTGAAAAGAGGTGCAACTGTTATGCTAAGTTTCAGTTCATTTTAAGAGCCCACACCTCTGTCAACTTCTCATTGCTTGAGTCTGATGGGGCCGTGACGAGAGAAAATGATAATCGTGTTCGCTTACTTGAGCAAGAACCTGACCGCCATAGATTAAGATGACTGGGGCATGTGCTACGCATGTCACCAGATAGGCTTCCTCGATGTTCTTTCTGCCAAGGTAGGTAGTGGCTGAACTAAGGTCAGTGGTGATCAGACTAAAACTCGACATAAAAGTATGAAAATCCTAACCAGAGAACTAAGTAATGTAGCACACTTAGGCATCCCCGTTTGAGACCTTATGGCCAACCTCATTGATGGTTAGAGATACTATATGATATAGCGTTTGGACATCTGCGCAGATTCTTCGCTAATTTATTTTAAGTTCTTCATGAATCTTTACCCTGGTTCCAATCCCAGCTTTCTACCTATTCGTCTACTGCTTCATCATCGTTCGACCAAATGGGCAGCAAAAGAAAGCAACCGAAACTGCAGTCAATTTTTTGGGCATTTCAATTATTGCTTTATTAACCAACCATATATGCATCCCAATTAGATAGTTTTCAGTAAAAAAAATAAGCTAAGAAACAGGGAACACTATATAATGAGTGATGTGGATTGGAGTTTACAAAGATCACAACATTCATTACGTGACTGATTAACCAATATGAACTCACACTTGACCCCACTCTACCCTATCATTCTGTGTTCCTCATTCCCACATTCATGTTATAATATGAACGTTTTAGTTGTGCAGTATTTGGTTAGTTAATGGAGTACCGAAAGCGAGTCTGTTCGCCGCTGCCTTTTAACGTGATCCGCTCGCGGTTAGTGGTTGTTGATGCCTAAACTAAATATTCACCAATCGCTCAATTTTTGGAATAAAATAAACTATGAAGAAAGCGCCACTCTGGTAGCCACAGGCTTGTTTAATAAATGCCTTTTGGGATCCACAGTTTCAAGCCCTACCATTGACTTTTTCGGCTCTTTTGTTCCAACAATTAGTTCCCGTCGGTATGAGATGTAACTCTTGTTGTTTCTCGCGTCGAGTTGTATCGTAAAGTATTTGACGGCTAGAACACAGGATCGTTAGATCGAGTGCTTGTTTGCTCCTCGAATAACCAAATAATCTACGGCTTTTTTTATTAGGTTACCCGAGTGTTTCCTTAGCGATATTTACCTGGTTATATCATATAATCAGAAATGGGAAGGGCTACAAAGTTCTACTAGTGAACATCTTGATCACACCCATTCCTGTTTTCCAAGTCAACTGTCAAATGTGCCACTGACATTGCTTTGATATTTGATTCTGCCATCCATGGGTTCTTTATTTCTTCCATTTGTGTGTGCAAGTATGTATGTTTGTGTACACAAGTACGCACATGCACCCACTTCCCTCCTGTCAAATAACTTTCCAATTTTCATGACACGTAAAACGATGATATGTGAAACTTCACTTACCAAAGTTTGATCATACGACAGAGAGGCGTGGTTCCTTTAGAACAATCTTCTCATGTGGCTTTGTCTGACTATAATTTGGCTGACAGGTACATTCCTTAACAAAATTTAGGCGGAAAGTGTTTTTTTCGATATCCAAGAGATACGTCGTGCCTGTCTTGTTTATTACTCCGACTCAAACGATGTTATTCATCAGGTGCTAATTCATGTTGCCGACATGTATTCACACCAATGGAAAAAGAGGGTAACCACATATTGACATATTAGTCAGCTGACATTTCTTCGCCACTTCTTTCATCTATTTCTGTGACTGATCACATTGATAGAGCTTTCATTTATAAGGTGAACCATTGGTTAATTTTGAAGAAGCATTTTACGATCAATAAGTGTATCAATAGCCACCTTTTTCAAGACCATGATGCAAAATGCGTTTTCTTTTACGTATATTCTCTGATGTGGCGAATTCATGTTTTGTGAATACACTAAAGAAATGATTTTAATAAACTTTTATATACTGTTTAATGTTCAGTAAAATCAAAACCGAAATGCGGAGAAAACAGTACAAAGGTTTAAGAAATATCCCTGAATGAGGAAGGCCAATACAATGAATCGTTTGCGAGAAAATATTTGGCAACTCGAATAGACTACTGTGTTCAACTTCATCCCCATTTGTGGGGTTCCGGGGAAGAAGGCTCGAACATGTACCACGAGACAATAAATTGATGATTTAATCCATCCAATCTCCGTCGTATATCAACTTGATTGGCTGCGGCCCAGTTCTTACGACGGCTGCCAAACTTTTAAGGTTATCAAGAACAGCAGTTTTCGAATTCTGTCCCTCCCACTCATCTTTCCCACTTCCTGCATTCAATCAGCAAGGCCCGAATTGGTCTCAACTCCGCTATAGAATGATTCTGTACAGTGATTTTCTCAATAACTGGAAAGTTGGTGAAATAATTTATTACGTTACTGACGAAAAATTTGTTTAATATAAATAAGTGGTAATCAAAAGATTGATTTAAAAAAATTATATTTCACACATGTCTGAGTTCATACAACGTGCCAAAAAAATCATTGAAAAACAATCTTTACCACGCACAAGATTGACCGATGATTTGCCCATAGGCGGTCAGTTAGGTTACTCAAGGAAAAGTCGGCGAATTTTGCTTGGGCATTCACAACCGGAGTCTTCTGCTATTCAAAGCATAACCTGCAAGGCAGCGTAGCGATGTGTGAAAACTGCAACCCATTGTTGACCAGCGACCAGCTTGACAAGTCCTACTCCCTTTGAACGGGATCACACGTCCGAATGAGCCAAAACATCTTGATGCTTAGTCAAACTGGTGACCACAGCTAGGAGCAGGCAGATGTGGGTGTAGTTTTCAAAGTCCTTTCTGTTTTGGAATTCGGTTTTTTGGCCTTTGTGTTTCACCGACTTGGTTGCGGCTGCGGCTGTT